GGATTTGGTTGTTGGGGTGAAATGACACAACTCTCCACTCCTCTAACCCTACAATGACTCCGCAACTCACAGTTTTTTCTCCCAAATTGTTTCTCCTGTTTGTTGGCGTCATATTTCAGCTGAGAACTATTTATTTACAGAATGAATCGTGTGTTTTGACTGATCATTTTCTAGGTCATCAATTTGGAATTTCTTCTGATTTCGCAACTGTTCCTAACGTTAGAATAGAAGAAAAAATACAGTATGACTAGTGACCAATGTTCGCATTTTCAGCTAAGCAACAAACACTTGATTTCATCAATTTTCGTTTCAGTTTTATGTTTTTTTTTTCATCATATATCAGTCTCAGATACCCAGTTCGTTATCGCTTTTTTTCATCAAGAACAGCCACGAGAGTCATTAAACGTCACTGAAACTGGAATGTTTGCAATCTGGAAAATGTGGTAACAAGAATAGTTATAGTATTTATTGAGAGCAACTGGAGTTTCCGTTGAGACGATAGCAGAATTGATAGATATTCGTAAACCTAGCTAGATACACAATCGAAAACCTGAAAAAGAACTGCATGCAGTATATAGGAATGTTCATAAACATAATTTAAGTTTCACCTAAATACCCTTTTCTCCAGATTTCTGACTCCTTATTCTTGAGTACTGCCAATGGCTCTTTACATTTTTCAAATCAGAAAGTATACTATTCTAAAATTTCTTTTGCACTTACAGTGTTTCTGATGCATTGTAATATAGTATCCGTGTCCTAAATGTCACTCAACTATACGATTTCTTTCAGATTGAGTTTTCAGAAACAAAACAAAAAGGTGATTCAGTTCTTTCTCGTCCAAATGTTTAAAAATAAAAAAGTTCTCACCTCCTCCTTCTCCTCTTTTTCCCGCTCTCTGTCTTTTTGTCAGTTTGTAATTCTGTCCAGTTGTTCCGCTCGTAAACCACTATTCCTCTTTTCCTCTAATTACTGAAAGAACACTTCAAAACCTCCTTCCAATTTTCTTCCATTCTTCCATTCCTCCTCCTTCAACCTTTTCCCCTATCAGCTGCTGCACCTTTTCCGTCTATTTCTGCGTCTCTTGAATGGTTCCCGTGTTCTTTTTCCATTCCATCAAGTCTCACCACGCGCGTGTTTCTTGGCTATTGTACAAATAAATATTTGCGCGCACCGCCACCACCACCACTAGCAGTATGCTTTTGAAACGCCTTACGTCCGTCCCTTCCTAGCCTACGTTCTTCTTCTTCTTCTACTCCTTCTTCTTCTTTTTACCGTTCCCTCATTTTCTTGTTTCTCTGGGTTCTCTAATACAGGTAGAAACTCAAAACAAGTCTCGACCTTTTCATCCCTTTTTCCCGAAATCCATAATTCTCTGAAAATTTCCATATTCAGTGCGTCCCGTTGCCTTTCGTCAGTTTCTCTCTCCGAATCTCTTCAGTTTCACCTCTCAAATGATAATATGCGCCCCGACAGAGACACGGGGCGCCGATAACAACACAACCTATTCATTTTTTGTGCAAAACCACACCACCAAAGACAACGCCTCTGAAAGAAGGAGAAGAAGAAGAAGGAGAAGATCTGTAGAAGAAGAAGAATAGGAGATTGTTCATTCGTAAAGTATCAATGGAGAATAAATTGAAATTGGTTGTTGTGGGCGATACATATACTGGTAAAACGAGGTGAGTTTTCATTTTATTTCATTTTGGACTCACTGATTAGTGACCTCATTTTTTAGATCATTAAATAATGGGAAAACATTACAGTGTTATGTTTATCGTGAAGACGAGTAGGAAAAAAATAGTCCAAAGGAATTTGATGAGACTAGTATTTGCATTCGTCTCAAATTTCCATTTGTGTTTTGCTCATCTGTTATTTTAAACAATTATTTTGCTGGATGAGTAGTGAAAGAATATATATATATGCACTGTTAACTCAAGGGTTTTGCTTGCCAAATTTTGTATAGCTCACTATTTCAATTCGTTTTTATTCCTAGAAGCTTCAACCAATAGCTGGCTTGATTTATTTGTAAATTTCATAAAAAGTGTCAGAGATGTGAATCTCAAAAACATTCCCATAAATGATCGTTTTGAACATAAATTATCACAAATGTGAAAGAAAATTGATTAGCTTCTTCAAACCAAGAAACTCCATTTACATGTCAATTCAGAAAGTGATAAAAATGACTTCCGCTCTTATTCACTTTTTCACTGTAATTCTTTCACAAGAAATGGCTAAATCTGTTGAGTAATTCGATTAAAGCCACATCAAGCGCAACGACACTTATCCCATCCGATTTCCATTCAATTACCCATTCATCTCCGTTTTTCTTCTTTTTTGAAAAACCAGTTATGTTGCAGTCTTCTTGTCGCCTACACGAAGAAACAATTTCTCGATAACTACGCGACTACTGTATTTGATAATTGGGCTGTTTCTGTGCATATTGATCAGAGGAACTATGCCGTCAGCTTATTTGATACAGCTGGTCAGGTGAGAAATTGTTTTCTATTTTCATTAAATTCGGTGACCGATATTTTATCCGATTAAAACGAACACCTTTCCTTTGATGAGCAAATAGATTAAATCATTTTTCAACCGTTTCGTGTCGTTTTGAGGTGTGAAAATGGAAGTGAAAACCGTTTAGAATTGTTTGCTTTCAATTAACCTTTTCTCCGTCTTTTTTGTTGAATTTAGAATTGGGTCATTCGAAAAGAAAAACAAAAAAAAATGAGAATAACGTCATAGCAAGTGTTTCAGGGAAGTTACGAAAAGATAAGATGTTTGAGTTATCCACATGCGAATATATTCCTTGTATGTTTCTCAATGATTGATAAGAAAACATTGGAGTCATGTAGGACGATATGGATACCTGAAATCAGAAAATATGCCGGTGATAATGTTCCGATAATGTTAGTTGGAACAAAGAATGATCTAGTCGAAGGTGCAGATCTTCATAATGTGGTGACAGAAGATTACGCTAAAAGAGTGGCTCATGAGGTAATTATTTTTATGATCAGCTCTTCAAACATTCATTTTTGATATTTAGATTGGATGCCATAAGTTCTTTTCTTGTTCTGCTTTAACTCACAAGGGTTTGAAACGTGTATTCGATGAAAGCTTTCTGGCTGCAGTAGGTGTCAAATTTGAAGAAGAAAAACCAAATCCATGCTGTACAATACTTTGAAATCTTTCTTTTTTCATTAATAAATCTAGTATTCTACTTAATACATGTATATCATCGCTCACTCATTTCCTAGTCTAAATCGATTCCGTTTTACTCATATTTCAAATTCCCTAATAACAGAACTCTCAGCTTTACGTTTCCCTTTTTTCTCTGTGATCATATCATGTTCAATTTCTGTTCAATTGACAAAAAACACACTTAAAATAAAGTCGTTGTTCAGACTAGTCGAAATTACCCGCTACTGACAAC